ATGACCTTGAAATGACAATCATCAGCAGAAGAGGGAAGAACAATGCTGATTTCAAATCTACATTCCTTACAAACATTCCAAGAAGTATTCTGGAACTGATATGAATAGGAATGCACAGTGAGCTTAAGAAAATTGTCCTGGGTACTTTACAATGAAAATATTTGGGGTAAAAAGGAAGGCGTAACAGATATCTTTACTGTAACACTAGATCTTAAAAATCAAAACTGTACTTGTGTTATTACAATACAGAAATGAAGTATCACATTTTTGAACACTGGCAAAATGCAACATTCTGTAACTCTATTCAGAAGGTAGTTTCTCATGGTACATCTGTAGGACTGCGACATCCGTAGGGATACCAAGGTGCTTTTTTATAAAGCTATTGTCCTCCCAACCCTGCTATATGCCTGCGAGTCGTGGACTATCTACAGACGTCACATGCAACTCCTGGAACAATTCCATCAGTGTTGCCTCCGAAAAATTCTGCAAATCTCTTGGGAAGACAGGCGGACAAATGTCAGCATGCTGGAAGAAGCAAAGACCACCAGCACTGAAGCGATGGTCCTCCACTATCAACTCCACTGGACTGGCCACGTTGTCCGGATGCCCGACCACCATCTCCCAAAGCAGTTGCTCTATTCCAAACTCAAGAACCGAAAATGGAATGTTGGGGGGCAGGAAAAGAGATTTAAAGATGGGCTCAAAGCCAACCTTTGAGCCCATCTCAACCTTTGAGCCAACTCTGGCATAGACACTGAGAACTGGGAAGCCCTGGCCCTTGAGCGCTCCAGCTGGAGGTCAGCTGTGACCAACGGTGCTGTAAAATTTGAAGAGGCACGAATGGAGGGCAAAAGAGAGAAACGTGCCACGAAGAAGGTACATCAAGGCAACCCCAACCGGGACCGCCTTCCATCTGGAAACCAATGCCCTCACTGCGGGAGAAGATGCAGATCAAGAATAGAGCTCCACAGTCACCTACGGACCCACTGTCAGTACATTGATCTTGGATGACAATTCTACTTGGACTACGAGGGATCACCTAAGTAAGTAAGTCTCATGGTATTTTAACACCAGGGTTGTATAGTAAATAAAGTGTCAGATTTGGACTATCAAGACCCAACTGTCAATCTCTGCTCATCCATGAAACTCACTGATTCTCAGCCTGACTAGTATATGGGATTGTAGTGAGGATAACATGAGGCTATGCATACATGAGTTCTTTAGAGAAAATGTAAGGTTATATGTTTAAGTGAAAGAGTGAAATGTCCAATACACATTAACACAAACAAAGTACTAGTGACAGTAACCCAAAACTGTGCTTCTAAAGGCCATTGGAAGCACAAGTCCATCATATTACATTTGCATTGCATTTAAAAGACTCTGATATGGATGGCTTCTTTAAAAAAAAATCACTAGCTATTGCTATTATTACATAATTAAATACCCGAGCATTTGTTTGCAAAAGTGGAAGCACAAACAACCTTGCCATTAATGCCAAAATAAACTAGTGTTAGTTATGGTTCCCATGACAGTGGAACGGTGAATTCATTCCAGACTTTGGGTAGCTTTAAAGGAGTCCTGCACAATGCTGAACCACTTTGGGAGCAGGGGTTCAGCACGTTGGAGAGCTTATGTTAAGCCTGCAATGAAATTTGGCATGGAGTTTGGAAAACTTACCTTTTGACAACCAGCAACCCAACATTCAATATGACCAGCGGCTGAGTTATTCTGGAAGTTCTAGTTTAAAAAGGTAACATTTCTAGGTACTGTTCCAAAACAAATCTACTTTTCCCAAGGCAGAAACTGAAATGAAACCTCTATTACAAGCGACAGATGGTATAAACCACAACCTTAATTACTGCCAAGTTTAGGAAACCACTATCCATATTTTGTAGGGCTGGGCGGTTTCGTTTCGTTAATTCGTAATTCGTTAAAAATTCGTTATTTTTTTTATAACGAAGCGATAACGAACCATTCTGGAGCAACTTAAAAACGAAACGAATTTTTAAATTCGTAAATGCTTCGGATTCGTTATGTATTCGTTTCGTTATCGGTTTGAGGTCGTTTCGTTATTATTTACGCATGTCTGGGGCAAGTTTTATAGTTGTTTTTTGTTTAATTAGTGAAAAAAAATTATAATATCACACCAACAGTCAACAACAGAGGGAGAGGGAAGCTTCAGAAGTTCCCCCTGTCCCATTTGGAGGTTTTTTAGCGTATTGCGCGGTCGCGTCCGCCATTAACGAATCGATTCGTTATTGTTTCGTATTTGTTTCGTTAATGTTTCGTAATTTTTTTACATTTACGAAATTTCGTAAATATCGAACTTTTTAAAAGAAAAATTTCGGAATTCTTTTAAATATCGAAACGCAAAAACCCCCAAAAAACGAATCGATTTTAGAAACAAATTTTTCCGTTGTTACCCAGGCCTAATATTTTGTTTGCTGTGAAAGCAATTGTCTATTGCAGGGGTCCTCATACCAAGGCCCAGGGGCCAGATTCGGCCCTCCAAGGTCATTTACCCGGCCCTTGCTCAGGGTCAACCTAAGTCAGACAAGACTTGACAGCATACAACAACAACAACAATCCTATCTCATCAGCCAAAAGCAGGCCCACACTTCCCATTGAAATACCAATGTTTGTATTTGTTAAAATTGTTCTTTATTTTAATGATTGTATTGCTTTTAAGCATCTTTTTCACTACAAATAAGATATGTGCAGTATGCATAGGAATTCATTCATATATTTTTTCCAAATTATCTGGCCCTCCAACAGTTTGAGGGACTGTGATCTGGCCCTCTGTTTAAAAAGTTTGAGGACCCCTGGTCTACTGCATACATTCTGTGGTTAAGTGGACATTACAAAGTTTGTTTATTTATTTATTTACAACATTTCTATCCCACCTTTCTCCAACCCAAAGGGGATTCAAGGCAGCTTTACAGTCAAGCAACCATGCGATGAACCATTCCATTTGATGAACATTTATTTATTATCTATTTGTTTACTATATTTATACCCCATCCTTCTCAACCCTGAAGGGGACTCAATGCAGCTTTACACATAGGCAACTATTTGATGCCTTAAAACAATGTACAATCATAATAAATATTTTAAGATAGAATTTAAAACACATTAAAACATATAAAATATTTCAAGTCTCTTTCTGAGTTCTTACTTTTGTGTGTAAATCAAACACAGGAATACTAGGCCACAGATGTCTACCAGATGTATTATATACAAAAAAGATATAATTTTGAAGACCAAAGCAACTTTATTTCTCCTTCACAGAGAAGCACTGTAGTATTCAGAAGCCTTCAGACTATGGGTCCAAATATTCCATTATTGTCCCGGCTGATTGGCAACCTTCCTTAGCCCTAAAAAGAGATTCTAGAATTGGACCCAGGGCCTCCTGTATTCCAAAGCCTGAGAAAAATCCAATATGGAACATAAGAGATTGCGGGAACTGTAGGGTTTTTTTTTTTGTGGGTTTTTTGGCAGGGGGAAGGGCTTTTCCAAACAGCTTTTCTTCACAATCTGTGTAAAAGAGGGTGGGAGGAAAACACATTCAATTGGTATGCATAATAAGTCCTGTACTGCAAAGATTCTTACAAGTCAAGGATTATCTTCATCAGTGTTTCCTGAGATTCAAGAAATCTTTGTTATAAGACTTTTTTCTTTTGGAATTTTTTTTAGTATTCTTTCTAACCCTAATTCAAAGCCTTATTATTTTGATAGAACTTCCCAGAACATGCAACCTTCTGGTACTGTAGGCCACTTCAATGCCATAGTGAAGGAATAGAGGTTCAAGTTGACACTGCTATCCCTGAAATTCCCACATTCAGAATAATTTGTTTCCTCTTCAGTTGACTTGGCTCTCATGCCTGCTCTCCCTAATTTAGTCCCATTTATTCTGATTAGACAGGGAGAGATGAGGTAGAAATAGAACATTTGTGTCTTAGACGCCCCTTATCACAGGTAGGAATTCATGCCCTGTGTGTGACTTACACCCAGCTCCAAGGTAGCATCCCTGAAGCCGATGTAGTGATGTGGAAGTTGGGACATCTGCTTATAGTTCCCAACTAGGAAAGCCCTGAAAGAGCTGCCAACTCTATTGAGTAGAGAATCCTTTTTTAAAAAAAATAGTTATGTGTGTATCTCCCCTTTCTAGTGAGCATAAGACAGTACATGTAACCTTCCTCATTTCCATTTGTATCTTCAGAAGAACCCAGAGGATGGGGAAGATTGAAAGGAAATTATTGGACCAGGATCACTCAAGAGCTTCAAGATTCAATAATGGCTAGAACCCATATCTCCCAAGTCCCAGCCCAGCAGCCACATCACTTCACCAAACCACCCTTATCTTCTACAGTTTCCCATTATGAGCCATATTTTTCGTACATTAGTTGTCCATTCAAGTTATTTCTGACTTATCACAACTCTAAGGCAAACCTACCGCAGGGTTTTCTGAGGGTGACAGTGTGTTAATTGCCCAGGGCTACCCAGTGGCTTTCCATGGCTGAGTGGGGATTCCAACTCTGACCTATAGAGTTGTAGTCCAATTTTCAAACCACAACACCACACTGTCTCTCTCTTCCCTAAATACTCACAGGCATTCAAACTACAATCCTACACACAAACAAATGTGAATTAGATCCACAGGACTTACTCCTGAGTTTTGTAAGCCTTTGAAGATGAACATCAGGGTATAAATACTTCAAACAAGTAAATACGATAAATTCTGAGTAACTAACTATATCTAATGCCTGGTACGATGAGGAATGAAATACACCTTCCAAGCAACATTCACACCACAATTATACCTTTAAAATAAAGTACAAAATATTGCATATTCATTACATGTGCAATTTTGGCACAGATTTTGTTTATCATGTTGATTGTCTTCCCTCTTTTCCCCTTTCTTTATGGTGTCTTAGTTTGGGGGATACATCCCCTTCTTTTTTTCTTGTATGACCATGAGTAATAAAACATTTAAGTCCTACCATGTTCCAGCTGATAGTTCTCATCTCTTCCTTTTGCCTTATTTCACTTCCAGCAGAAGACAGTGGGTGTGGATCACCTCCTTGCTTTTGTTCTCTGAGGCACTACCACCATCGCTTTGCTATACCCATCACTTCTTGAGCTTCTTCAAATAAGCCACTTCCAGGTCTAGAACTTCATCTTTTGCCATACTGTATTTCTCCAAGGCTCATTCACACATCCTGCCTTTTGATAATGCCAACCAGATGGTACTTCATCAAGGCAATGCCATCCCAGTTGCTACCACTCATGAATTGGGTCATTGGCACATCTAACTGATCCACTTACTGCTCATTCCAAAAGTGGGACTAAATTCTCCCATCTCCAGAGTGTGGGATCTGCTGCTAAACTCTCTGCCGAGCGTGCTCAAACTATTTCCTTGGCAGACTTGCTCTGAAATGTGTGCTGGTGGGGACAGCGTGCAAGGAGTTGGAGGGAGGGGAGAGATGGGCGGACGGCATCACGCTTGTTAGCAGCCAACAAACTTTGTAGTTGTTGAATGCTCAAAGTGTGCCAACTCTGGCAGGCTGAAGGGGAAGGGGGAGCCGGAGGTCTGCTGGCTTGCAGAGCCTCTTTTCACAATAAAAGCCCCTTCTCTTAAAAATTTAAAAGCTGACCTGAGTTGATAAAGAAGAATCTATAATGCTTTGGTCAGACCTCATCAGGAATACTGTGTCCAGTTCTGGGCACCACAATTCAAGAAGGATTTTGACAAGCTGGAATATGTCCAGAGAAGGGTGATCAAAGTGATCAAAGGTCTGGAAGCCAAGCCCTATGCGGAAAGGCTTGGAGAGCTTGGTATACTTTTTTTGTTGCTATTTTGCTTTATTGGCTTAAACTTGGCAAGGCGGGTGCTGGGCTTTGCCTACTTGGTCTTTCTTTCTGTGAGGAGGCTGTCGTGGAGCTTGAAGACCTCCAGCTCAAAATACATTCGTTCTACAGTGTAGAGCAGCATTTCTCCCAGGGGAGGGGGGCATGAGGAGGTTTCAGAGGGGTCGCCTGAAAAGACCACCAGAACCTGAAAAGACCACCAGAAAACATATTTCTGATGGTCTTAGGAACCCCTTTTGGCAGAGAAGGCTGAACCTTCACCTCTTCCCTGAATCCATGCCAGTCCTTGCCATATGTGTTGTATTGTATTTTGTTATAATGGGGATTCTGACCATTTATACCTCATATAACGAGAAGAGCATCTTCTTGGTAGCACACAGTAGAGAGTCAACAGGAATGGATCCTGATGACATCTGGCAGCTTTCCTCAAACCTGAAAAGGTTTGATGACAAATACACCCTCAAAATGATGTTCATCAGTGGGCGAACCAAGCAACAGCGGGAGGCCAAGTTCACCAAGTCCATCACCAAGTTCTTTGATGAGAATGGCACCTTGGTCATGAGAGCTGGGTATATTTAGCTGGGAGAAAAGAAGGCTGAGAGGGGACCTAATAGCCATGCTTAAATATTTGAAAGGATGTCACATGGAGGAGGGGGCAAGCTTGTTTTCTGCTATTCTGGAATCTGAGACATAGAGCAATGGATTCAAATTTCAGATTCCATCTGAAATCTAAACATTAGGAAGAACTTCCTAACAGTAAGAGCTTTTCGGCAGTGGAATATGCTGCCTCACAAGATGTCATGCAGTCTCCTTCTCTGGAAGTTTTTAAGCAAAGGCTTGATGGCCATCAGTTGGGAGATGGACTCAATAGCCCTTGTGGTCTCCTCCAACTTTATGATTCTATTTATTTGGGGTATGTCAGAGATGGGCTCTTGTCCTTCTAGGAAGGTAAAAGCAGACTAGAAGTAGAGCCATTATTAACTGAAGTATTCCTCCATTCTTCAAATAGTGCAAAACATGACAAAGTACACAAAGCTTCTAGAAGACAACTGGAGGTGAAAAGGTTGCTTCGTGGATAGAGTGTCAGCATTGACAAGTTGAATACTGACCCAGCCATTAAGTTCACTGAGAAGTCTTGGGCCAACAGTAAACGACATACCTTTGTCCAAAAAACCTCCGAATGACCTCTTGAGAATTCAATAAATAACAGAAAGTCCTGGAGATCCTTGGAAGAAATCTGGGATCAAGGGCATTACAGTGCGGCCCCCGTATCTGAAGGATCACTTTCCTTGATTTAATTTATCCATATCCAACGAAATATTTAGAAAGAAATTAAAAGCTTGGCTGTGAGACCAAGCCATTACAGAGAAACTCCGTGAAATAAGTGGATATGAAATAAGTGCACTCACGATTGGAATGGATCCTGGACTTTGACTTTGGATTTGTGTGGTTTCAATAATTGGTTTTAACACATAGATGTTTTCTTAACTTTTATGGTTTAATGTATATGTGTATTGTTTTATATGTTTGTTCATACAGCATTGTTGCCAATTTGTAAGCTGCTCTGAAGTCCCCTTCGAGGTGAGAAGGGTGGAGTATAAATATAGTAAATAAATAATTAAATAAATATGGCCTGGTTTCTTATTTATATAAAGGTATATAATTGAAGAAACATGTGGAAATGCAAATAAGGTTTTTTACAGGGAGACAGACGTTAAAATCTTTATTTCAGAAGCACAGTGGAATAAAATATGGATCATACCACCTTATTAATCAATAACAGGTTATTTCAAGGAATTTACATTGAAGACAATTTATAGTTGGTATTTAACACTGGTTAAATTCCATGAAATAAATAGTAATATCTCACAATTTGGCTGGCTGGCTTGTGGTGCTGTTGGTAGATGGTAGACTTTATAACCTTATATGATCTATTGTAGGATTTTGTTTTGCCATTATCACACCACTAAAATCTATTTTTATAATTCTCCCTCTACAGGAGGAGAGACTTTTTGGCCCTATTGACATGACTTTTCAAGTTTTTTTTTAAAGAAAGTTCAGTACACACCTGAGGAAAGGATAACATATTTGATGTGTGCATTGTTGTTGTTGTTTTTTTAAAAAATAACATCTCAAGTGAATTTAATACAATAGCAGCTGGTTTACTTCATAGATTTCCATCTTCATTTTCTTTTGGAAGCATTTCATTTCCTTTCTCCTTTCTTATTTCGAACCACTTCCATTTATAAGCAATTTCCTGTCAAACTCATTCCTGCTGGGAGAATCAAGTTGCTCTGTCTGCAAATGGGGAGCGACATGACAGGTGATTTGTGTAGTTGCTTCAGTTTCCGTCCCTTCATGCAAATAGGCATTTTGAATGCATTCCTGACATTTTAAGAATTTGACCTCAGAAGCCTGTCAAAAGCCCTGTAAAATTGAAGGCTGAAAGAATCTTGAGAGTCATACCTGATGCCTTCCCCTTTAGGAGATATAAAAGACTTTCCCATTAAACCTTTGGTGAATAGATTCGTGTTTCAAAGCCTTCTATCAGGAGAGGGAAATCTTTGTTGTTATTTGCCTTTAGATTGATTCTGACTTATGGTGATCCAATATCCTCCCATCATTTCAAAGATGAAAACCAGGAGACATGTAGCAAAGAAAATTCAGAGTGTGATCAAGATGGCAACGTTATTAATATGAAAGAACTTCTCAAGAGCTAGAACTAGGAGAGGCTGCAGCACCTTGCTTGTGGCTGAGTCTATTGAGGAGATTTTGATCCCTCCACTTCGTTGGAAATAGCAACTTTCTCATGCCTCTACTAGTTATTTGTTATTTATATAACTGCTTACTGTGTTGAATATCTGTGTAATGGTTTGCAATTGTGTTGTTGTTTTTTTTTTAAAAAAATCAGTCGCTTCCAACTCTTTGTGACATCATGTACCAGCCCACGCCAGAGCTCCCAGTCGGCCGTTGCCACCCCCAGGTCATTCAAGGTCAAGTCAGTCACTTCAAGGATAACATTTTACTTTATCTCTTTATTGTGGGAGGAGCAGCAGACAATGTGATCAGAACTGGGCATGTTCAGGACTCAGATTCCATTTTAGAAGAGTTTTGCTTTTGGAAGTATGCAGTGTGTAAGCCCTTAGACTTTCAATGTAGAGACTTCAATAGGAACAGTACGCTGTACAAAAGCCATTAGACTCCTTTGGACTTTAAGATTAGACAGAGACTCTGTTATACTCTCATAAGAGAGAGATGCTTTGGACTATGGGTTATTGTTTCTAAGATTGATGCTGTTGTGACTCAGCTTGACTCTGAGTCTGAAGCTGAGCTGTTTGGGCCTTCTGAGCCTGACTTTGGCCTGCAGGAAGACAAGGAGGCTGATGGGTTACAGATTCTTGCACATGTTTCAGCCGGGGCTGATAGTGTGGCTGCTGAAGGAGAAACAGCAAGTCAGTTCTCAGGGGAAAGGAATGTTCCTGCAGTTAGAGAGACTGCTAGAGAGAGTGAAATCCCACACAGCCAGGTGGAGGATTCGTTCCAGCTGGACCCAGATAAGGGGTTGCATAGCCTTGCAGATAATGAATTAATGATCAGACAAGATAATTTGCAATTAAGGCTTCAAAGAAGCACTCGTTTGGCCAGCAAATGAGAAGCCAAAGATGCCCAAGGTCAACGCAATGCTTTCATGTTCGCAAAGGGTATTTAGTCTTGTAGCTGACAGGCCAACATTGCTCTTTCTATGTTAACTTCTGGGATTTGTCCTGGCGTTTCGCAGCACACTTTCGGCTTCCTGAGTCTGGGATTTGGGTCTGGTTTTCAACTGTTTTAACATGGACTTTTGTTTGACCATTGTTAAAGGATTGTGCTTCATGTTTTTGGCTTTGGATCTTGGGAACTTTGCTTTTACATTTAAGTCTCTGTTTTGCCTATGGAACTATTGCATTTTTATTTCTTTATTTTGATTTTGCTTTTCTCAATAAACTACAAAAACCTACAGCCTTGGTGTGGAGCAAGTTGAAAACTACCCTGAGTTGCAACAGATGCCCTGTGTTATCACAGATAAACTACTTCAAAACTACTTGTAACTGGATTGATAAGCAAAGTACCTGTATGCTGAATACATGGAGTTTGTGAGAAAACCAACTATGTTACTTTGAAAGAAGCCTGCTTATTTTTGTCTCTTGAGAGCATGATTTAAAGGCAAATATATTTTAAGGAAGAGTAGTTTTTTGAGGGGCAACTGAAAGGTACATTTCTGAAACTCTGCTGAGTAACAATATATTTTTGTGCATTGGAATATCTTTATCCCTAACAGTTCAAAGACGTACTTAGGTACATCAGTTAACAACCGAGAAAGCTAGTTGCCTTGCATGAATGCTGGTGAATGGCATTTTCCCCAAAGGGTTATGACTCTAATAGGTCATGCTTTTTACCAAGAGGTTATGGCATTATTTTTCAAAAGGTTGTGACTTCTAACAAGGTCATCCTTTTCAAAGATCATTAAATATCCAAAAGGTCATGTAACCAGTGGTTTTCCAAAATATTTCACTTCTCCTTGATGAATATAGTGTCAACTACTTTTGCTCTTTAAACTCAGTTTATTGTAATCAAAGTTAGCCTGGGACAAAAGGGGAGGAATATAGAAAAATTGGGACATTTTAGAAGTATCTGAAAA